GGGGGGAGGGGGGAACTCCCCTTAGGATTTGGTACTGTTTGATATGTGAGCGCCGTGTACGTGAGGTGACGGGTACGTACACGGGCTAATTATTGTAAAAATCCGATTTTCACTGAGTAATAACCTGTCCTTTCTTCTTATTCGAGTTATACCCGCATGTGTAGTATCCTGTTAGCTTAGAATAGCATGCCTACTTGCCTTAATTACTTATTTGAACTCTGTGCAGCACGTTTAATGAATCTTCCTGTCTTTCCTTGACTTGTACTTAGTCTACGCTATAGGAATATGCGCTGTAGTTGTTGTTTTTACTATTTGAGCTGCATATTTACTTTGGGACTACGGAACAGTATTTCAGGAGATCCCCCTGTACTGCATATTTACTTTTGGAGTACGGAGCGGTATTTTGGGAGATCCCCCTGCATATTTACTTTGGGACTACGGAGCGGTATTCCGGGAGATCCCCCTGTATATTTACTTTGGGACTACGGAACGGTATTCCAGGAGATCCCCAGCATTGTATATTTACTTTGGGTCTCCGGGACGGTATCTTGAGAGATTCCCTATCGTTATCTCTGTGTACTGAGCTGTTGCCTTTCATTGATTCTTTTTCTGTTCTTATTTTTACTATGATATTTCATTATGTCTTATTTCATTATATTTATACCAGTAGGGCCTTGACCTAATCTCGTGACCGAGGTTAGGCTTGGCACTTACTGGGTACCGTTGTGGTGTACTCATGCCCTTCCTGTACATGTTTTTCGTGTGCAGATCCAGGTTTATCTTATCAGCCTCATCGCTAGTTGCAGCCACTGCTGCTTATTGGAGACATCAAGGTACATCTGCCTGCGCCCGCGGATCTTCGGAGTCCCCCTTTATCCCCCATGTTCATTTCCCTTTCTTTCTGTAAAAATGATGTATAGAACAATTGAGGTTTCTTAGTAGCTTGTGACTTGCGGGTTTCCGGATTTTGGGAATTGTTTCGTACTTTTCAGAAATGATTATTGTATATGCCGAGTGGCACCGTTTATGCTTATTTCCAATATATGTTAGCTGTTATCCTTGTGTTTTCATTTCACTTCCCTAATATTGGGCTTACCTAGTCTTAGAGACTAGGTGCCGTCACGACAGTTCACGGAGGGAGAAATTGGATCGTGATAAGTTGGTATTAGAGCTCTAGGTTTAGGAGTCATGAGTCACAAGCCGGTTTATTAGAGTCTCGCGGATCTATACGAAGACGTCTGTACATCATTTTTACAGAAAGAAAGGGAAATGTCTTCGGGGGGCTATGGAACTATTAGGAAAATTTCCACTTCATTTGATTCCTTGTCGTGCGAGATGATTATTGACTTCGAAATTATAAAATTATGTCTTCTATTCTCTCACAGATGGTTAGAACACGTGCAGCCGTAGATGAACAGGCACCCGCACCCCCTGCTAGAGCTGCCCAAGGCCGGGGCCGGGGTAGAGCCGAGGATGTGCATGTGGTGCAGCCAGAGCACCTGCACGAGCTTCTATGGAGGAGCCACCAGTAGTTCT